GATTATGAATACAAATGTAGGACTCTGAGCTGTGCAGAGAAACTATGAGTCATTTCAGACACATGAAATCATATCAGATAAAGCTTAAAGGCAAAGAGTGACTCTGGTGATTAAAAGTTGGTAAGTGATGATAAAGGTTAATAATATTAACATTATATTGATATTTATTAAGGACTTACCAGTAGGTAGCATGAGACTGTGCTAAGCATTATGCATGGTAGTATCTTTATTTTTTCATTCTACAGAAAAGAAAGAATGTCAAAGCTTAGAGCAGTTAAGTAACTTGCCTATTGTCCCATGAGCATTAATGGTGGAGGCCATGCATGAATTTAGATCTATCTGATGCCAAAGCTCAAGTCCCTGACTACTGAGTGGAGCTGTATCTGATCATGAGATTAGATTCTAATGGCAGCTCACTGGGTGAAATTTAGGCAGAGGTACAACTACTGCAGAAAATCCTGTAAGGAGACCATTTTGGAGAGCAACATACCATTTCCCAGAAAGCCCAACACAGCCAGGATTTTCCCTCCCACTGGATCAGATTGTAACTGCTTTTGCTGAACAACACATGAAGGAGGTAGTTTGCAGTTAGGGACAAATTGCGTGTGGTCCAAAAAACACACACTTTTAAACCCTGGATGCACACACACTGTGGGGTTAAATGCTCTCAAGAGAAGAAGCAGAAGGAGACTGAGTGAAAGTAGAATCAAGTCTTACGTCAGAATTTTCCTGTACAGCTTCAGTTCTTCATTCTTGCTCTTTCCCTTTCTCTCTCTTGTATTCTGTATATGTATGTAGTTGATGTAGCACATACCACTTTATGTGATACAGTCTTGCTAACAGTCAAATAGTTTTGCTGGTCTAGAGAGGATTATTTGATTCTCTACAATGTTGAAAATCTTGTTATCAAATAGTTTTTGTTTGTTGTAGCATATCCGCATATCCAAAGCTGGTAGAATCAGGTAGCGCATCAGCCATGGGAATACATCCAGTCTCTCCAGAATTAACAAAACGGATGGCTTCAACTGTGTAAAATAAGAGAGAGAAAATTTCAAGTGTCTCCCTTAGCCAGTCAGCATGGACTCTGCGTCCCTCATGTTGCTGAGACCAGTTCTCAACTCTATTCCCACCCCAGCACATTGAGGCAAGGGGCTCACTTCTACCAGTATAAAGTGTTCTCAGCAGAGCCGAACCACACCGTTCTACTTCCCAGGTTAGGAAAGCAGAATCTGCAGAGTTTGGGTTGAATGTAGTTTGGAAAACTTTCTCCTTTCTGGATAGTCTATTACATCCTCCTACGAGATGATTCCCTTACTCTCCAGTCGTCATTCTTGGTTTAAAACAATGGCGCCTGATAAATGTTCACTGAATTTAAGTACTAACTTAGGGTTTCTCCTGCTAAGTGAGGGGGCTTTTGAATCCTATGCAGTCCTAACCTGTCCATTCTCCTGTTTGCGGTTGTTGGCATCTCCCCAAGATGTTCCTTGGGGTATGCGGAGCAGAGGCTGTCCCAAAGCTTTGTGTAGTGGCAGAGAGGATCTTACAGAAGAGCCGAGAGCGGTGTGTCAGAGAGGTTACCGCTTGAAAGACTGTCATGCTTACAGACTCCTTTTGAAAGAGGCCGCCCCGACCACAGCCAAGAAGGTAGCAATGCAGTCGGTTTCTTCGGCATTGGTGACCGTGTTCTGTAGCATGGGAGCCTTCCAGCCTAGCCACACTGGGAGCAGGAGAGGACACCGGCCCAGAGGTAGCCAATCTATGCACCACTCAGTGGCTTCTGAGATAGCCGCAAACGAGAACTTTCCCTCAAAAGGACAATGTTGACAGATTCTCCCCTTGGCGACATTTGATAATAGAGAAGTGGCAGCAGGTGGGAGCAGGATGAAAGGAGCTGCGGTTGTTCGTGCACCTTGAATTATGGCCGCGTTCTGAAGACAGCTAACGACGAGTTGAGGCAGTGGTGTGCTGGGGCTGGCCCTTACAGGCCTGGGAGCCAGTGCGCGCGAGTCCCTTCCCGGCTCTGCCTCAGGTCGGTGGGAGTACTGACACCACAGAAATTGGTTTTTGTTACAGTTGAGACCTCCTGCCTGCAGATTCGGGTGGTAAATGTTTACTAGCACACCAGTGGGTAGGGGGAGGGATGGCACTTGGAGAAAAGGGGAAGCAGTTACCTCTTCTGGGCCCTTTGTCTTACAAGCAACCAATGTTTAAGGTAATATGTCAACAGGGCTGGTATTAAGATTATAATAAAAAGAGACATTAGGGAAAACATTGTGAAATACATGATCAGTCGTTAAATTACAAAGCTCCTAGGAATGTGGTCAGAATGTGGTAGTACTTTTCTTGTTCCTGGTACCTATCAAAGGCACAAACCCCCACCTTGCAGGCCTACAAAGGATGACCTGACAAGCCGGTTAAGTCTCTGGTCTTATTTCCATGCATATTCTTTACCCCTGTTACTTGAGGTAACTTGAGTGCACACCTGTTACTTAAAACCACAGAGCCCAATGAACACAGTGTTTGAGTGCCTTTTTTTAAATGTAGGGAAAATGGGACACATTAGTACAGTCAAGAGAGTAGATATGATTTTGGAATGAGGTTTGACCCCAATACTACTTCTCCCCTTCCTAGTAGCATAATTTATCTCTGCCTCAGTCTCCTTAGCTGTAAAGTAGGGATGGAAACTAATAGGCTCAGGGATATTTGTTGGGATTAAATGAAACACTGTGTGTAAAACACCAGCACAGCTCCTGGCACGTGTCACGCATGCAAGTCACCTTAGCCCTGTCTCTTCTCTTTAACAGACTTCTTGAAGCCTTTAGAACAGCTGCTGCTCTTGCCGTCAAGTCAACAGAATCGATACAATTACTTCACTCTCCACTTACATTAATACGAATTAGGTTGTATGATGATGCATTCTTTACGATTTTATGTTTTTGTATAGGTCAACTGAAATATTTTAAATATGGCTTATTACAGTCCTCTTAAACAAGTTTTGCTTTACACTTAGCTCAGTGCTCCTGTAACTCAGTCCACAAATTACTGTGCTCATTTCCTTTGCTTTTTAAACAACTCCTTAGACTATGGGCAAAGACCCGTTAGGCACTGTACGGGAATTAAGAAAAACAGATGCTTATGTAATACACAATTAAATATACAGAAAGGAGGAAGGGATGGAATTCTTGAGAGTTTTCCTGAGAATTCCCTTCCCACTGCCCAGCTTCTAGGTAGCTAAATTGATAATATAATAATACCGTGTGTCTTTTAAATCCCTTATTTAGTGTATTACAGTTTATTTACCCTTAGTTTACTTAGGTCATCTGCCTTCAGTCTCATTATCACTGCTAGTACATGAAGGCTGAAATCTGCCCATTTGCCAGGAGTAATTCATGGGATGTTGTGTTTCTCAGTCCCAGATGATTTAAAGGGAGCCACTTGCAAATGCACTCGCTTTTGACATATGGGCCTTAATACTTTGCCAGAATTAAGTTTGCTTTGAAGTTTCTGATTTTCAAACATAGCATCTTCAAACAAGTAGTGTGATGTACAAACTACCATACTTTAGTTCATGTTAGAATGATCCACTCTAAATCTGTTTGACACTTACCCCATAAGAATTTTGCATCAATGAATCATTTCTGTAGCATCTTAAAATGGTCATAAGTAATCATATGACATCCTGCATCTCCAGGGCCTGTCCCGTTAGTGTGAATAAGAAAATAATAATAGGGACACCTGGGTGGCTCAGTCTGTTAAGCATCCGACTTCAGATCAGGTCATGATCTCACGGTTTGTGGGTTCAAGCCCCGCGTCCAGCTCTGTGCTGCCAGCTAGCTCAGAGCCTGGACCTGTCTTCGGATTCTGTGTCTCCCTCTCTCTCTGACCCTCCCCTGCTCATGATGTCTCCATCTCTCTCTCAAAAATAAAACATTAAAAAATTTAAAAAAAGAAAAGAATAATAAATTACAGTACTTAAGACGTAATTATGTTGTCTTAAAAAGCTAAGGGTCATTTGGACTTGATTGCTGAAGGCGTTATCAGTGCCAAAGAAAAGTCCGGGAACTAATAATGGGTTGGGCCTGTAATTAAACATCTGGGACTGACATTTTGGTCACCAGAAGTAGCACCTTTGGAATAAATTTCAACATTGCCTTTTAGACAAGCTACAACAAATGCAAAACCAGTGTAAGGGGCTGAAGAGAGGTTGGTGGAGGAAAGGACGACTGGTCTCAACATCGACATTTGGCTATTTCGAACACTGATGTCGCGTAGCCTGCCTAAACTCCATGTATAGTGTTCAGATATTAGCTTGGGAAGAGTCCCTTTGTGATTCTGGCCCTCCGGGGAACCCGCACACCCGGTGTCCGGGCCCCGCTCACCTGGAATGCAGGAGGGTGGCTTTAGGTCTTGGGATGCCTGTTTGTTGTGTACTGGATGGCTCACCTGCACGTGCCGAGCGGGCCGTGCCGCTCCAGCCTCACCCTCCCACACTCAGAGAAGTATTTGCCAGATCCTTTTATCCCCTCTTTACCCAAAGCTCTCAACTGATTAGGGGCAGCGCAACAGTCTCAACCCCCTTACGCGTCCTCCGGCGGGCCGCTGGCTCGCTGTCTCCTGGTGGTGGTTTCTCTCTCTTTTCTACCCCTTCAGGGGTCTCAGGTGGGACCTGGGTGGGGCGCTTGGCGCTGCTCTTGGGCCTCAACTCTAGAGAGAGATGCTCCCTGGCCGAGGGATTCCACCGCCCGCTCGCGGCGGCGGCGGCGGCGGGCTCGGAGGAGGCGGGAGTTGGCGGCCGCCGAGGCCGGGCAGCGGGCCCCGTCCGCGGCGGGCGCGCTCCGCGGTCCTCCCTCGCTCGTCTCCCATGCTCATATTTGGACTCGGCTGCCCGTGCCCAGGAATTTCCCGTCATGCCTCCCGCCGCCCCGTCCGTCGCCCGGAGCCTGGGAGGGAGGGAGGGAGGGACGCAGCGAGGCTCGGACGGCGGCGGCGGCGGCGCCCCGGCCCTTCCATGAGCCCACGGCGGACCCTCCCGCGCCCCCTCTCGCTCTGCCTCTGCCTCTGGCTGGCCGCGGCTGCGGCGCGGGAAGCCGCGCAGTCAGGTAAGTTTGGGCTCCTTCCCCGCCTCACCTCCCCCTTCCCACCCTATTCGTGCCGAGTTGAGGTGTGACCCCGATCCCGGGTCCCCTCGGAGCGCGGGCTGCGCCCCCTTCAGATTCCTGCGGGGACGCCCCCTTTCCTGAGCCCGGGAGGGGCGCGGAAGGGGAGCGCCCCGCGCAGGCGTTCGGGGGTGGGGGGGGGGAGCGGATGGAAGGAGGTCAGGCTCGCTTCGCCCCCGCCTGCGAGAGGCGTCTGGCCGCCTGGCTGACACCTTATCTCGTCCCCGGTGCGAACCTGAGCCCGAGGGACGCTCTCGCCCGGCGCGGGCCCCCGGGGAGGGGCTTGGCGCGGCAGCCCGCAGGGGGCAGGGGAGCGGCGCCGCGCCACCCGGAGCCCTCAGCTCGGGGCAGGACTGCCTCGCCGAAGTGGCCGCGCGGATAACGGGCCGGGGCGCGTGGGAATGCGCCCGCCAGGCCCGCGCCTCCGCCGGGCGTCCGGGAGGGGCGTGGGGCGCCGGCGCGCAGGGAGAAAGCCGGGAGCGGCGGGCGGCGTGGAGGGGGCACCGGGGGCGCCCGGCCGCGCGCCGCGTCGCCCGCGCCTCGGGCTCGGGCTTCCGCGGGCCCCGCTGGTATCTAATAGGCCAAAACCGAACAAAATCCCGAGTATGCCAGGTACCAGTCTTGTTGTTTTTAAGCGGAAAAAAAGGCATCCAAATCTGTTTTGTAAGTTTTACAGTGGACTGTTTTAAAGTCAAACGTATGTGAGCGAAAGGTACCATTCCTGCCTTCCTTGGTTTAGGACTATAATAGTGGTAATTCTGAAGTCTTAACACAATAATTTTTGAAGATCGTTCTTTAAATCCCGTGGAAAATATTAGGATTTTTTTTTACATAAGGTTATTATAAGAGTAATCATTTGAAATGACAAATGTAGAGTTTTTGGTAAATGTGAAATTGCACGAACGTTGATATTTATCTTACTAATCATCAGAGCTTGTCAGTTCTTAATTTTTTTTTTCTGGACTGATAGAACAAATCCTCAGTTGAGATTAGACAATTTTAGTTTGCTTTGAGTTTTACCACCAGTAGACTAAATTGTCAACATTAGATACGACTAACAATTAGGACTTAATAAATTAGTTGAAAACTGACTCTATTAAACGTACATTATATTCAGAACCCTCTGGTCTGTCTCTTAATATTTCCTTTGGTAACATTGGTGGCAAAATAGATTTTAAAAGTTGGTCTCCTTTATAAAAAATCTTCGGTATTCATGTAATTTATAAAATTGCCAATTTAGATTAATGGGAGATTCTTAAAATGTTTAACTTTATTAAATGTGCAGTTTATAAATATTAATTCAAGTAATGATAGCAGTTTCATGATTGAAAACAGTACTGATTAGTACTGTTTTTTTTTAAGACCTGCTTTTATGGATTCATATTTTAGGAGTACCTTTAATAGTACTTCTTGGGAAATACAACAGGTCCTAACAGCACTTTTTATTAGTGGTCGTCTAGAAGATACTGTGCTGCAGGATAAAGAGTGGATTGTACTACCAGGGAATAGTTGTTTTTTTTTTTTTTTCCTTCAGTGATATGTTGACTTACCTAATACTTGTGGTAAAGAAGCCCTTGAAGACCCAAATCCACTGTACCATGGCCCCTTGCCAGCAATTTTGAACATCACATTTATATTTGGACCATTTAAACATTCATTCTCTTAATTTTGGTCCCCGCTGACATATAAGTCTAATTTCTGGTGACTTTTATTAGGGCCCTGTGTGAACGTCTGGAATTTTTTATATTAAAATAAGTAGCTCTCTGCCATAGAGAATTTTGTCACAGTGCCTAAACTGCCTGTCCGCCAAGGTTGCAAACATACAACATAATTTAGGTTTTGAATCAACTCATGGTCCTTTTGGTTGTTAAAGGTGCTTGTTCTAATATCTTCACTAAAGTGTTAACCCATTAAGTCAGAAGTCTTTCCTGTTTCGCTAAACCCAAGTAACAAGAATATGCAAAAAAGAGATCCCAACAGTAGTTTCATGGGTTTTCCCCACATATTCTAATGCATTTATTTTTTTTAATTAAAAATGAAATTTCAACTATTAAAGAGGAACTTTAGGAAATAATGCTCTTTTCGTTCTGTTATCTGGTTGCAATTCTTTGTTTTTTTTATCTCACCCGTGCTAACTTAATAGTTGGGGATTTGGTTCAGATGTTTAGTAGCTTCCTTCTTTGTAAAGTGATGAAGTTGGACATGTCTCCATGTCCCTTCTGACTCCAGGATACTGTAATATTGTTATTGTTTATTAAATGTCGCAGAGTTACCCACACTACATTGATTCAGACTTCTGACTACTTCTGATTCAGACTCTTACTTGCTCTGCATGTTAAACTGGTCTACCTGTAGTCAGAAATGATTGGCATAGATCCAGGTGTGGGGAGCCTGGATCTGCCTCGGGGTCATCTTGATACCTGGCCTGTGCGCACAGATGCACACCCCTAGACAGAGGTCCGTGACAGTAAGCTTCTGTTACTTTCTCTTTCCCTCTCTAGTAGCAGAGAGTGCTGGTTATGTCATAGCATAAATGTCTCACTGCTCTTTGGGGACAGTTAAGCCCAGGCCCTAAGATGGTCTGGTATTCAGTTTTGGAATTTGTGTTTGGGTTAGGGATACCACTGTAGAGCACCCAAACTCTTCTGGAGTTGGAGGCCTGTGACTAGTTGTTTGGAGGCACTCCAGATGAAATGCCCTACATTCCTACAAAATGCCCTATTGATCATACTCGGACCTACCCATCTTGCTTACGCAGAATTAAGTTGAGTTTGGATAGGAGGGTAATCAGATAGCTATTTAATTTACCATTTGTTAGTTAGCATCTGTGATTGCTATACAAACATCTCAAGCCTTTACTTTGGATATTCTTATATTTTCTCCTTCCTGGGCCTGATGAGATTGTCTTTTAAAATGCTCTGCGTGATCTCGGCTCCTTGTTCATGTACTTTCTCTATAGCATACCAAAGTCATGTTTATGGCTCTTAAGGAAATGCAAATAAAAAGAAAAGAAGTTATAGAAAAGTTAGGCCAGTAATAAATCAACCAATTGACTTTATAGAGGATTTGGTTATTGCCTCATTTCAGCTTCTGTTGCAAGTAACAGAAATGAACATGAACTAGTTTTAAGAAAACGAAAGAAAGAAATTTGTTGGGAGCCAAATGCAGACAGACCTTATTAGGGACCAGGGACTGGAAAACCTGGAACTTTTCTGCTCTCTACTGTTTGACTTTCTTTGCTTCATTGTTCTCTCTTTGCTGACCATTTTTTTTTTTTTCCTGCTTTCCTGTGTTCATGGTTGAATGTGACTGCTGAGCAGCCCCTGAGTATTTACGCGTCCCTTGGTTCCAAGCACAGGGAGAGACTAATACATTGAGACTTGACCCTAAATTCCTGAGAGAAAGAACCCGATAGACATAGTGTGGGCCACACTGTTCACACACATTTACCCTAAGGTCTCTTTTAATTCTAGATTTCTTTGTAGCGTGTTCTGCAGACATTGACATGGTTTGATTTTGCATTTTTACATTTTGTATTATGGCGTTGTTAGTCCTTAAAAGGTATAATTTTCTCTTGATTGTAGTGTGTGTGGAGGAGAGTGTGCCAGCCTCACTGGGATCCTAGGATGTTAGGGCAGTTCATTCATACTGAGGCAGGAATGCTGAAGGGGAGCCTCTGGGATGTAAGAGGGGGGGGAGAGGAGTGGGGTGCACTACCTGCAGGAGTTACAGCGCAGCTTGGGACCCACCTGACTTGTGGAAATCCTGTTTAGTGACAGCTGATCTGTCCTTCAGATACTCTGCATATTTTAGGAATTCACTGAATTAAAATGCGGAGCTCAAATAGCTCTTTTTAAAAATATTTTTTAATGTTTTATTTATTTCTGAGAGAGAGAGAGAGAGAGACAGCGTGAGCAGGGGAGGGTCAGAGAAAGAGGGAGACACAGAATCCGAAACAAGCTCCAGGCTGAGCTGGCTGTCAGCACAGAGCTTGACGCGAGGCTCGAACCCATGGACCGTGAGATCATAACCTGAGTCGAAGTCGGATGCTCAACCACCTGAGCCACCCAGGTGTCCCTCAAATAGCTCTTAAGGGTGAATTCATTTAAACTATCTAAGTAATAATTAGAGACGTTCAAAATAGTAATAGTTGAGGGGGTTCCTTAGTTATTTTCCTGTTTCTCACACATGTCTACCATTTTCCATCTCTACTTTCCTTTAGACTGCTTCTGCTGTCTGGAATACTTTTCTCTTGTAACCTGTCCTTAAAGCTCCATCTCATGGTCTTTTATGAAGCTTTCTTCACCTCTTGAATTGTCATTTCCTTGTGTTTTCAAGACGTTTGGTACCCTGATTAGAGCATGGTTTTATCATCTTGCATTATCAAATCCATACGTATTCACCTTCTTCATGAGACTATAAGTTCTTTTAGACAAATGAATCATCTAGAAGAATTTGGATAGGCTGTTAGCATCCATCATCCCGGGTATAATGATTCCAGCTTTTTCAAATGTTCTGAAGCTTATATGGCATCCTGCTTGTCACTGCCTTCTTTTTCAGTCGTTAGAGCTCAGTCTTTCTCAGTCCTTGCCTGGTTTTTAGATATTATAGGCGTTTCCATGAACATTCTAATTTCCTGTGTGATAATCACATGTATAGAATGATAGGATCTTTTCCTGCAAACCAAGATGGATGGGGAAACAGAATATAGCAAACTGATGTGGAAGGGGTCAACTTGTGTTGAGTACCCAATATTTACCGGATCAGATAGAGAGGGCAGGTGTAGAAAAACATTGGAGCATATATGAAGGGGAACAGTGTGAAGATAAAAGATTGAAGGTTAGGTGCGGCCTAGAACATGGAGGGCTTTTAACGCGAGGCTAGAAAATTTGGATTGGGTTAGTAAGCTATGAGATAGAAGTTTTTTTGTGTCCTCAAAATAT